TTTTTAATTTCAATTTAGATTTATTTATTCAATTAATAGTTTTTAATCAAATATTTTTTTTTATATTAATACTTAAAWAACTACCTTATATTAGAAAAAAATCACAATTATTCTTATGTGTGATGTGTCTAATAACGTATATACTACAGTTGATTGGATTACTGGACTCGAACGGCCGAAGTCGAGGGTTGCATGAACTCTTTCACCACTTGTAGGGGTCCAAACTTTTGTTTTTTGATTTATAAATTTTCTGCTGATTTAAAAATTTGCAGATTTCATTTACAATTATTTACAATTGATTACGATTTGCCCGAAGTCGATCGGTTAAAGACGGGGGACTGCGTGAACTTGGTCCCACAAAACTTATTTTYGACTCAACAACTATGGGGGATGTTCCGATGTTTACAAATTTGGGTATTGAATTAATAATTATTTAAAATGAATTTACAATTGTTCGCAAAATTTTGAAAATGTTTGCACAAAGTTGTGGGGCAAATTTCATGTAGGCACGTTGAAAGATATACAAAAAGTATAAAAATTACACATCATTATAATATCTACATTATTTCTATATTAATTTTAAGTTACCCACTTAATTTAAAATATTTAGAGTCAAATATGTTAATTTGCTAGATATATGTACCAACGAACTTACTACTTGACTTTTTTAACATTGCCTTTTCTAAATGAACTGAAAAAAATAGTTTCATTTACCTTTGACAATATGCTAAATAACACTTTTATATGGAACTATATTATCTATACTCTATAGTATATAGGTACATATTATGTACAATGAGAGTCAATTTATTTATATAATGGAATTGATTTAAGTAAATACAAAATTAAATTTTATGCATTCTCAATTAAATCATCTGGACTCTAGACACACGCAACCGAGCTCAAGGGAAGTTTGTCAACTTTAACGTGAACGAGTGCATCGGAAAACCACAAAGAGAGCGACTTATTTAAATAATACTTTAAGCACGCATATAATAGGTACTTATTACCATACTGCACAGCCCGAGAGCCGGGAAAGAGGGATGCGATGCTGTGTGCAGGAATTGTAGCTGCAGCACTGCAGGGCCTCGTACTTCTTTAGTAGGCCTTGAGGGGAGTGTTCTCATCATTTTTATTAATTACACTCAGGTCTCCAAGGTGAATCATAGCGCCGGCACTGATTATTAGGTACACATCTCGTTGTTATATTATTTTATAAATATTCGTCTGCCGCAGGTTCTTTTTTTACTATAAAGTCGTTCTTGTATTTCGTTTTACGATCAAATCGTCTGTTGTCCTCCCCCCCCCATTCACCCACTATATATATATATATATATATACCGCCGCCTCCTCGAAACTCGGATGTGATCTTTATCTCCGCTTGATTAAAATCTGCGTTCCATTCTGCCATATAACCATTATACATATATATATATATATATTATATAACTAATATACGCGCAGTCGGTTTTTGACGATTATCGCAGATTGAAATCTAGTCAATTTATATTCAGCCGACTGCCATTTTATACTCTGATGACTATCGCTGATCGAAATCGCCGCCGAATGTGTATTCCTGCCGGACGGTTTTTATTGTTGAATTTCAGATCCCCGTCAGTGATACCGTCCAATCGCCGGGTCGGCATTATATTATTCATGCACACGCAGACAACTTCAACACACACGAGCGTTCGGGTTTACAAGTTTTTTCACCTTGTATTACTATATTTGGGTAAATGGCCCGGCAACGAAGATAGCGTACAATAATATTATAACTACTACAACAACGACAACAACGATAACAACAACAACAACGCGATGACGACGACAAACGTCACCACACGCGCGTCCGTAATGCGTAAATATTATTATATAAATAAAATAACGAGGGCGACCGCACCGTATAATAATATAGGTACAACAATAAAAGGTACCTATAAACAATTATGATATATCTTACGAAATAATAACTGGACGGGGTTATTCAAAATTAATCATCCCGCGATGATTTGTACCTGGYTGACTATATAGGTCACTCGACCTTACCGTAATAATAATGATCAATATTGGCCCTGGTCTTGCAGATGACTTGCGAGGSTCTTGCTATAAGACCCGAGACTAAGATGGTACTGCRGCCTGCAGGTATTAGCGGGACCAAGATCAAGACAATACACATGCTACGAGACAAAGACCAAAATAAGACCAACACGTCCGACATTGCAAGGGCAAAAAATTTTTCCCCGAAAACGCATTGGTGCATCTAATTAACTAAAAATTTATAACGAAAGTAATAAAAAAATATTTGTATAGTTATTGAATTTAATCAGTATTCGAAGAAATGACAAATTATTGAAAACTAGACTAGATGAGTAAGGTAATTGGAATTAATATTATGTTACAAAATTTTATAGTTGTTTCATACCAATATTTTATCTTCCCGAAATCGATATAGGCGTCGAAAGTTGATKTATATTAAAATGAACATTGGACAACGTAAACAATTTTAAATAAAAATGGTCAATTATTGTTATATTAATAATTATTACCTACTGGTATTTATTATAAACATAATAGGAACTTACAAAATTATTCATTGAGGTAAATTGATTCATAAAATATGATTACAAGTAAAATAAAGTAAATATAAACAAAAGTTCAAAGTTTTAAAACAAGTAAAATTAAAATTAAATTATTTTACTTTTGAATTATTAATATATTAGACTAAATATTTATTAAAAGCAAAAAACCTTCACACAGCTAATACAGGTATATTATATTTAATATTTTTTTTTTATACATTTTGTGAAAACAACAAGCCTTGCATAAAACCAAGACTTATAAATAGCGATTGGATTTAAATGCTATAAAAAACAAGAAAAATACGATTTAATGCACTAATAACAGGATTTTTTTAAATGCACTAAAAAATTTCTTTAATTATATGTATTTATGTAAATTCTTATTTTTAGGTATTAATAATTCGTATCATTTTCATCCGCATCTTCTAGTTTTCCTATCTTATCATTAACCTAAAAATTATTTCCAAAAAAATGAATATATAATTTAGATACTTCACCTTGTGTTTCATATAATTATTGATTTTAATTATTTTAGAATGAATGTTAACTAAATTTTTATCAAATTTTATATATTCCTATAAAAACATGATTTAAACACATAAAAATGTCAAAAAGTCTTAAAAATTAAAATAAAAATTACATTTTTAAACTCCTTGATGTATGAAATGAATTTTGTGCTTAAAAATCAATGTTTTCTGACATTCAGCGAAAAATTCAATTTGCATTCAAATCCGTTTCCTACTTATGAATCGGAAGACATGAGTTTACAAGACCAAAACCATTGCAAGATTTCRAAAGTCTTGGTTTATTTTTTTGACTTGTTTTGATCATTACTTATCTACCTAAAATCGCCATATACCTAATATGTGACTATTTCTTTTATGAACATTTAAAAACTTAAGAGGGGATAACACCGGGGTAACAAACGCGTAACATAGCAAATGTACGCTTAGCAGTTCACATTTTTCTCCGTTGACTTAAAAATTAGAGTGAATAGACCTATTATGAAACTTGATGGTAAGAACATTATATGTGTTTTGTTGGAAGTATTTTTAGTATAATTCAGTTTTTAAGTGAGTTATGCACGTATAAGAAGTTATAAAATAAAAATGATCATAACTCACTCAAAAACTATCGTAAAAATACTTCCAACAAAACACAGATAATGTKCTTACCACAAAGTGTCATAATAATAGGTCTATTCACTCTAATTTTCAAGTTCACGGAGTAAAACGTAAACTGCTGAAAGTAAATTATTGGTATGTTACGCGTTTGTATGACTGAAACAACAAAATACGGATGTTGCACCCTCTTTAAAGACACTGCGTTCCACCATTATCTCCAACCACTGAAGAGCTAAAAACTTAGCATATTATAAAACAATTATAACGGTTATGTTTGATATGGATTTAACTATTTAAGTTCCTATATAAGGCTATAATTTAGATGCGAACACGATATAATGTAAGTACCCATGAAAAAAATTTGAAATATTATTATTTAAAATCATATAGGTACCAAATCTTAAAACTAAAATTATATTAAAATTTGAAATCGCGGATGAATCATTTGAATAACCCTGCAGTATAGAATATTATTATTATATTTCGTGCAACGCGTTGTTATATTATATTGAATAGATGTTGTATACGACACACTGGTGCGAGTATATCCTCTATATTGTACGCGTACATTAAATATGTTCATTTTTTATAATACATAATATTATTATACTGAAATAATATTACTATTATGCGCGCGTATCACATTATATACGTACAGCCGGACCGTCTAGCGATTATCACATACGACAATCGCTCTGTGAGTGTATTATATGCGCGGCCGTAAACGCAGCGAGAGTGCGAGACATAATAAAACTATCTAAATCGAATCCGTCCGATTGCAATATAGGAATACATTATTTATTTTTTTTAATAATATCTGAGGAAAGATAGTAATAGTAATAATAATAATGCGGATACGTCTTTGAATCTTTCGAAACGAATATCGGTTTCCTTTTTATTTTCCGTCTCGGTTTATCCCTTTTCGATCGATAACAGATATAATAGGTATATGCTGTGGGCATAATAATAATACAGTAAAACCTCTGTATAGCGGACACTCACGAGACCGACAAAATTGTCCGCTTTTGAGAGGTGACTGGTATTGGGAAAAATTAATAAATTTAAATTGTATTTACTTTTAAAAAATTATCTTACTTTAAGCTTATCATTAATTCATTAGACGTAAAAAAATATCTTATACCAAATTACGATTTAGATAAATGTCTTTATCGGTAATATATAATAACATTGTYATAGTACATATTGTATTGTATACATAATAAGTTCGTATTTATTGGATAGCTGTCCGTTATTTAGATATATATTTAAACACTTTGGATTACCTAAAAAACCTGTCCGCGTCCGTTATTCAGAGGTGTCCGCTATTTAGAGGAGCATTATCCATTATTTTCAACGGGACTATACCGAGACCGGAAATTTTGTCCATTATTGAGAAGTGTCCGTTAAGAGAGGTTTTACTGTTTCATGAAGTAGAATCCGCCTAATTGGGACACAATGACTGGTGACCTATTTGTCTCCATTGTTCGACTGTATCGATTAACCGAATAACTATAATATAAACCGAAACTATTAAAGTGCATAAATAATAAACATACATCATAGGTAACTCTATTTAAAAAATACATACATACTTAATTCATACTTTATTTAAAAACTATTAGATTCTGAACGAAGTGATGAATGTATTGATTTTACAATGATGTGTTTTTTTTTTTTTTATGTTTGTTTTTGTGTCTGTGTACAGCATAACTAGTCGAAATAATGCTTCAATTTCAAACTTTGGGGGTGGTTTCCGATGTAAAAGTGAATATCCTTGGTGCATTATAGTGGTCAAAAGTTAAC